CGTTAAAGACCGAATTATACTAAATAATTGTGCCGGGCGAGAGCTAGCGGATGCAATGGAGGCCGAGAAGTAGGACTTCTTAGCGGCCTTCACTGCCATCTCGTAGGTTTTCATAAAAACCCTATAAGATGTTCTTGAGGCTCCGTCACGGGCACCCCGCCATACTCGCTCTAGCCGTCTGAGGTCCCGCTTCATTTTCCGGAGCTCCTCAGTAAACCAGGGAGCCCGGTTTCTGCGGGGTCGCAGAGGGCGCTTAGGTGCGATCTCATTGATGGCTGCCAGGAGCTGGGTATTCCAGCCCTCAACAAGCTCAGTCAATGAGTCGCCAGGGGGAGAAAGGTCCCGCAAGGCTTGACGGAATCTATCAGGGTCCATCAGCCTCCGCGGGCGAGCCCAAATCGGCTCACCACCTAAGCAGGGTGGGGGTGGAACGTCAATCCTGGCTTTCAGAGCGTAGTGATCAGACCATGGCACCTTCATCGAAGGAAACATGATCACATCTATACCGACGCCAAAGATCAGATCCAGCGTGTGGCCTGCTTGATGTGTGGCGCCCGAAACAAACTGGGAGAGCCCTAGTGTCGCCATGGAAGACACCAGGTCCAGAGCCTGTGAGGAGGGAGTGGCATCGGCATGGATGTTGAAGTCCCCCAATACCAATAGGTTAGGGAACTCCAAGGCCCAGCCGGCCACCGCCTCCAGCAGGCCTGACAGGGTGGCTGCTGGTGCGCTAGGTGGCCGGTACACCAGCCAGACAGCCAAGCTCACCTCGGAGCCCCACACTAGGCCAACACATTCAATGCCGGGGATCGATGGCGGTGGTAGAGCCCTGAAAGAACAATCTTCCCGGATTAATAGTGCCACCCCTCCCCCCCGGCCCACAGTCCGTGACTGGTGGAGGACGGAAAAACCCGGGGGCGCCATCTCTCGTAAGGTAACAGTATCCCCTTCGCGCACCCAGGTCTCCGTCACACAAGCCAGGTCGACCCCCTGCGAGATGATGAAATCTCGCAGGGTGGCGGTTTTGTTGCCTATAGACCTGGCATTGCACAACACCAGTGACGGAGGTGAGTAATCCTTGCTCACCCTACCCTCGTCTCTCGGGATGGGGCGCAGATTGGAAGGGGTACGAGCATATCCGTATCTCGATCCCCTTCGCCTATGACATCTGCCCCCACCGCCATACCTCCCTCGCCCCTCCACAGTAGGAATCCCAGGCCTCATGCTCGCCTCCATTTACAAAATATAAAAGCAAACAAACAAACAAAGAAACAATTACCCCAAAACAAAACCAATCCCCACCCCACTCAACAACCATCCCAACACAGAATAAAACAAAACAAAATAAAAATACATGGATAAAAAACCACCGTTTCTGGTGATACAACAGAATAATAAGTAAAAACACTTTTAAAACACTTTAAAAATATAAAACGTTTAAACATTTGCTGCCGCAGCAGCAGTGTCCTTAGAGTTGTGACGGTGGTGAATATACAAAGAACCTAGGGAGAATGGGAAAGTGAGCCAGAACACATACATCACCTACTTTTATCAAAAGTAGTAGTAGTAGTAGTAGTAGTAGTAGTAATTTATTTAAACCCTGCCCATCTGGCTGGGTTTCCCCAGCCACTCTGGGCAGCGTCCAACAAAATATTAAAAATACATTAAAACATCAGTCATTAAAAACTTCCCTAAACAGGGCTGCCTTCAGATGTCTTCTAAAAGTCAGGTACAGTAGTTGTTTATTTCATTGACATCTGGTGGGAGGGCGTTCCACAGGGTGGGTGCCACCACCGAGAAGGCCCTCTGCTTGGTTACCCTGTAACCTCACTACTCTCAGGGAGGGAACTGCTAGAAGGCCCTCGGAGCTGGACCTCAGTGTCTGGGCTGAACGATGGGGGTGGAGATGCTCCTGCAGGTATATTGGGCCAAGGCCGTTTAGGGCTTTAAAGGACAGCACCAACACTTTGAACTGTGCTCAGAAATGTACTGAGAGCCAATGTAGGTCTTTCAGGACCGGTGTTATGTGGTCTCAGTGGCTGCTCCCAGTCACCAGTCTAGCTGCCACTGCTATCTATCTAGATCAAACACAATCCTTACACGTGGAAACAAACTAAATACGTTCTTCCTACCGTTGCTGAAAGCATGTTTTAGCTATACAGGTTGCAGAAGAACATCTGCAAAATTCACAAAATGCATCTGAGCTACTTAATTAATCTATTTTTACACCATCGCTCTCTTCTAGTTTACTAATTATGTCAAAAGCCATTTTAATATTTCATGTCCTACTAACTCGCTAATCAAATGCTTATCAAATTCAACCGAGCTTGTACATGCTGCCTTTTAAAATTAGATCTAACACGACATGAGAGGAAGTAAAAGTGTTAACATGTCAATGTCCTGCTGATCAAAGGACACCGAGCCGTAATGCACTAACATATTTTGTTCCCAAGACAAAAGTCTGCACACACACAAAAAAAGGCAACCACATGCTCAGGGACCTGGATTCTTTTGTAGTGTTTCCCTAGCAACAGTGAAACTTTTTAAATTCCAAGTTTAAATAGTAATTTAGAGGCCTGGCACAAGAGCTGCTGTGAAAGGCATACTGCCTCCCATATAGCCACTGCTTTTGCTACTCAGGTTTGCTACTTGGCCTGAAGATTACAGGGTCATCCACTCTCAATAACGTGCAAGAATGCTTCTCATAGGTTAGTCAATTCAAACGCCCATCCTAAGCCAAAGCACAGATAGACAACAGACACCACTAGAACCTTTTCATCAAAGAATACTGAAGTGTGGCTTCTATAACATGACTAATGCAAAATATTTATCCCATCTTGCTTGCACTTCTCACCCCAGACCACCACTACAGTCCTAACCTTCAGTAGCAAGAGAGGCCTTCTTGTACTCTTAAGAATGTTAGGTTCCCATTCAAAAAAGAAGTTCTAGCCCACATAGCTGCAGAATGGTGGTCCCATGTTTCTGGAACACCCTCCCTAGGAAGGTATGCGTGGCCCATACAATGCTGTCTTTAAAACAAGCTTTGAAGACCTCCTTATTGCAAGCTTTTAAAATCAGTATTTGGGACTGTGATGAATTGTTTTCTGTCTGTGTTAAAACTGAAAGGTTCTTTTTCTGTAATCTTTTTTAGGATCTCAACTTCTTTTAAAAAACAGGTTTCATTTAAGTATTTTTGTCCACTCTTGGGCATACTGCAAATGTCAGTGGTTTATTCCTCTAATTGTAGATAAATGTGGGCAGGATTACACCCATTACTTATAGATACGACAGGCTTTCAGTGCACGAGTATTGACATTTTAATGCCAATTATTACTCACTTCCACTCATAATACTACATTTGTAGTAATTATCTTTACACACCATTATTAGGACTATTCTTCCAACTTATTTAGTCAAATAACGTGTCATTAAGTTCTCTCAAAGCATCTGGAAAATCATTATCGATCATGCTACACACTCTTCCTTTCTCCAATGAAATAATACAAGTGGAAGTAGTTAAGAACTCATTTTTGTCAACTATACACTCAAGCCCAAGTTATTTAAATTCCAACCACAACTCCAACAATCATTCAACTGAGCCAATCACATTTCATCTTAACAATGGTTTCCTGGGTAACTTTACACAATCAAAGGAAAGCATTTGCCAGTATGGAAAGAATTAAATCAGTTCCTTTTTGACTTTTTACAATGCTTAAAAAAACACAAAAAAACCCACAACCCACAGCTGAACATTATGAAGAGTAGAGAGACTGGGAGACTCAAAGGGGTACAGTGATATTTTGGTTCCACCTAGTTCATTCAACAGAAGGCTTTGCTCATTGTTACAGGTGAGTTTCAACAACACATTGGGTGTCACTCAACTAAGCATTACTCAGAAGAGACCTACTGAAATTAATGGAGTTGACACAGTCATCTTTATTAATTTCAATAGGTCTACTCTGAGTAAAACTTAATGGATTATCATCCACTGTCAGGATTTGCTACGAGCCAAATGGTCCGAGACATTTCCATTCAATGTATATTCAGGATTATCTGTAGACAAAGGATCTCATGAGGCTCAACACAGGGACAAATCCTACTGCACCGTAGACAACAGTTGGTTGGTTGCCTTGCTTTTGTTCTTGTTTTTTAAACAAGCAAGTCATGTACCATGACATGTACTATGGTGATCTGTTTTAACTGTTGCATTTTAATTATAATTGTTGTAAAGTGCTTTGATTTTTTAAATGAAATTGCAGCTTAGAAATATTTTCATAAATAACTTCTGAAAATAAAACAGTAACAGCTAACTGAATTAAACCTGACTTTTAAAATCGATTAAAGGTAAAGGACCCCTGACAGTTAAGTCCAGTCGTGAACGACTCTGGGGTTGCGGTGCTCATCTCGCTTTACTGGCCGAGGGAGCCGACGTTTGTCCACAGATAGTTTTTCCGGGTCATGTGGCCAGCATGACTAAGCCACTTCTGGCAAAACCAGAGCAGTGCACGGAGACACCATTTACCTTCCCTCCGGAGCGGTACCTATTTATCTACTTGCACTTTGACGTGCTTTTGAACCGCTAGGTTGGCAGGAGCAGGGACCAAGCAATGGGAGCTCACCCCATCGCGGGGATTTGAACCGCCGACCTTCCGATCGGCAAGCCCTAGGCTCAGTGGTTTAGACCACAGCGCCACCCACGTCCCCGTAAAAAAAATTGATTAGACTATGACAATTCAGTATAAAATAGATTTGCGCTGCAATCATACTCATGTCGACTCAAAAATAAGACTTACTCCTAGGCAAATGTTGCAGCCTTAAGAATGTTTATAAACAGAAATAAAATGATACATTAAATCCTAAAAAGATGCCCCATGAATAAACCCAGGCTCCTTGTAAAGTTATCTAAAACTATGCCTTTGTGAACAAATGTGTTCACCACACACAAATACCCAACTAATTTGCCATAGCCAAACTGTAAAGATAAAACTTAAATATCTTACCAAGTTGTAATATCGTAATGGTGTCATTTAAGGCCCGAGTCACTAAGCTGAAGTGTCGGTAGAGTGGATAACACATAACTCTTCTCCCAAAGGACATCAGAACTTCCGAAATGCTAGTAAAACTCTGCGTGGAACAAACATTTTTAAAGGCCACAATTACTAGCGGAGAAAACATGTTTACAGTGATACCTTGGGTTACAGACGCTTCAGGTTACATACTCTCCTAACCCATAAATAGTACCTTGGGTTAAGAACTTTGCTTCAGGATGAGAACAGAAATCGTGCGGCGGCGGCGCGGCAGGCCCCATTAGCTAAAGTGTTACCTCAGGTTAAGAACAGTTTCAGGTTAAGAACAGACCTCCAGAACGATTTAAGTTCTTAACCCGAGGTACCACTGTACTTCAACAGTAGTTGTAAGACAAAAGGAAACAGCAGGTTGTTACTTTCCTATGAAATTACAGGCAGTGTTGTCTTGCCAGTGAAATTCCCATTCGGTTTCATATTGTAAAGCCCCTAAGCCTCATCTACAGACCCCACACCATCATCCCCACAGTTCAGCAGGCCACAGGGCATATACCCTGATTAACCGAAATAAGCACGGCTATTAAGTTAACATTCTAAAAACGTCAAGGAGGAATATATTTGCCAATGTCCTGTAAAACGCAGCAAATCATCTGCCCCTTCTGTTCTGGCCACGATGGCAGAGCAATTATCGGAAGCTCTTATTGAGCCAAGTCTTACTTTCGCTTTACTTGACTGATGCTCTCAGCACAAGGACCTCTATTGATTTTATGTTAACTAATACGCCTGAAATCTAAAATATCAGGCTTCTTGTCATTTAACCGGGGAATTAATATATCCCCGCAGCCTAAAAGGAAAAGAAATACCTTCCATCCATTAAGTTTTACAATTGGGATTTATTCATAAATGGGCCCACTCCTATGAGAGACTCTGATTAATTCATATTTGCACGATACTCATAGGGTGAACTTATACAGGTATTCTCTTCCTTCCTCCCATGCTGCAGTTACGTTCAAAGAGAACACAGCTATCCCTTAAAACCCTTTTCAAATTAAAAAGGAACAACACATTCGAGAATGGAGCAGCTTCAACAAGCAATACACCTTAAGAGTCCTTTTGAAAGAGCAAATATGTTTGCCATTCTCCACTAAGAGTAAAATTAAAATCTGGGCAAACTGCCTAAGAAGAGAAATCTTCTTAACTGTTTTGTAGCTAGCTATCTCACATTGAGGCTAATCCTTCCAGGACAGGCCATCTCCCAAACTCTTGAATCCAAGAACTTGGAAGACGTAAAGGGATTCCACTTCAATTTATTGGCCCACATCCAGCCCAAGCAGTCTAGCACCTGAATTGCCTTCCATAATTCGGACGGCATGAATAGATGGAGCTGGGTATCATCTGCATACTGAAGACACCCCACTCCAAATCTCCTGGTGACAGCTCCCAGCAGTCTCAGTGAAGATGGTAAATAGCACAAAGGACAAGGTGGAAGTTTGTGAGATGACTACTTTCTTGAAACAGCCTTGAAGGTAGGAGTAGAACCAATGGAATACAGTGGCCCGAAAGGAGATTCTGACTAAACATCAGGAAAAACTTTCTGTCAGTAAGAGCTATTCAATGGTGGAATGGTCACCTATGGGAGGCTGTGGACTCTCCTTCCTTGGAGATTCTTAAGCAGAGGTTGGACGGCCATCTGTCATGGACACTTTAGCTGAGATTCCTGCATTGCAGAGGGTTGGACCAAACAGCCCTTGGGGTCCCTCCCAACTCTACAATTCTATCACTTCCAGAGCCACTCCAGAAGGGTACCACTGTCAGGCAGGGCAACCAAGGCAGTTTCAGTGTCATGACCAGGTCTAAAACCAGAATCGCCCTCTCAAGTCCTTTGTCCCCAAAGGGGATATTCACTCCTGTGCGATAGTTGTTATAACTGGGCATCTAACACTTTTGGTCTAGGGAGGTCCTCTTAAGGAGGGAAATCCCTGTTTTCAATCTGGTTGTATTCCCAAAGATTTAAAAGATAGTACAACAATACAAATGAAGTTATAAGTAGAGATGGCATTAGGAGAACCAATAAAATACTACTAATAAAAGGGCCACCTAAGAAGAAATATCCACTTCAGAAGGGATAGGGTGAAAGGTAGCAGTAAACCTTTTCCAGATATGACTCTGTTTTACATGTATTGCCCTATCAATAAACTTGTTATAATTCATCTTACCTCCAGCCAGCACAGAGTTGAACTCAGCTTTCGTATGTTCCATGGAGACTCAACCTGAGAAGGAGGGGTTCAGGAAACCAAATCAGAACACAACACTGTGTTTGTAAAAAGAAACCACTTGCACAGGAACTAAGAAACTGAAAACTGCAATTAAAGCACATTTAGATGATCTCCATATATTTGCAGATACTATCCAACTTCAATTCCTCTCCCCTCCACCCTCTGTATATTTTGGTGTTAGACATAAGAGAACCATGATTGGGGCAGGGGGGGGAGATAATTAAGAGTTAGAGTACCTAGGTCAGTACTATCTCCCTGAACATGTGTGGCATGTCCATTTCTGGACCTTTATTTCTCCTTACCCTCTATGCACTGTGAACATTTTCCATCAGCCAGTTCTCTGGCTTGAGTCTCTGTTCCAAGTCTTAGCTGTCTACACACATCCAGATTTTCTAGGTCCTGGTGCTTCTTCAATCCTCCTCCCACCCAAACCTGCACCTCTAGCTCTCTGTCTCCAAAGATCGTATTCCTAGGTAGCCCCAGTGGCGTAGCGTGGGTTGTCAGCACCCGGGGCAAGGCAAATAATTTGTGCCCCCTAACCCGATAGTCCCTCGCTCTCTCTCCGCACCGCACGCCTGGCACCCCCCCCCCCCCACAGTGGGCGGTGACCCGGCGGCTCGGATCGGATTCGCACAGCCAGCACTGCAGTGAGAGAGAGTGAGTGAGCCAGGTAGGGGCAGAGAGCTGCGAGTGCAAGCGCACCCCCCCAGATGTTGCGCCCGGTGCGGCCGGCCCCCCCTGCGCCCCCCACGCTACGCCACTGGGTAGCCCACAATAGATCTCCCCAAACAGGCAGTGGAAATGCTCATGTTGTTCTTAAGCACAGAACCACTAGACTAGGATATGCTACAGAAGACTTGGTGCCTTGCCTCAAGCACAGTAATTCTCAACAAATAATCTTTGCTTCCAACAAAATAATGCTCCTGAGTCTAGAAAGCATCCAAGAAAACCTGTCCCCCACAAAAGAAAAAGAAAATAATAATTCAACATGTGGACAATGAAGATCCCTCAGCTGTTAGCTGTAAAATCATTTCCTCCTCCTTTCCTCTACTGCTAAATACAGCTCAGCAGAGTTGCCGTAGCAGCATCCAAGAGAGAGAGAGAGAGCGAGAGAAGAGAATACCTCACACTTTGGACTGTTAATTTCAAACAGCTGCCTGGCAAACCACCCTAGTGATATAGCATTTCGGTCCTGCGCTTTCAACGCCAGGAAGAAAGTCCGCTTTAAAAGCCCTGCCTCCCAGATGACAGAGAAATTCCCTGTAGCTATTCTAGCGGATCCACTTCACTGAAGTTTTATACAGGGGAGTAGAGGGGAGGAACTCACATTCTTCTCTCCTTCAGTGGCACAGACTTCATAGCAATAAGCCAGAAGTATATCAACTAAGCTCAGATATACTTGATGACAAGTTCTTTTATCAAGCAGGAAAGTTCTGTTGGTGAATTTTCTTAGCTGCTCTTTCTCATCTTCCGTAAAGGAAACTAAAAAAAAAAAAAACCACACATACACACACAGAGGTTATTTTAACACACCATATCCATAGCCGCACTAAAAACCACATACTTTGAATTAACAAGGGTAGTATTGATGAGAACTTCTTCCCAAGCCCCAGAATTACTCCTGTGTTAAATTCAGAATTAACCATTTGGCTTCTGCAGCACCTGCTTGCCCGCATCCATTCAGAATTAACAGAAGTTTCCTTCTCAACTTGCACCACATGCAGTCAAAAAAGCTGCAACTATTCCATTCTCTTGCATACAGGGACATATGTCAATCTGATTTCTGTTCAGTAAATAATAATAAAATAATAATAATAATAAATTTCTTACACCCCACCCACCTGACTGGGTTGCACCAGTCACTCTGGGTGGCTTCCAACAAAAATACAAAGCAAAACATAAAATAAGAATAAAACATTAAAAGCTTCCCGAAACAGGGTTGCCTTCAGATGTCTACTAAATTTATACAGTTGTTTTAACTCTTTGACATCTGTTTGGTTCCCTGCAATTTCACTTCTCGCAGTGAGAGAACCACCAGAAGGCCCTCAGAGCTGGACCTCATTGTCCAGGCAGAACGATGGGGGTGGAGACGCTTCCACGGGTATTCAAAGTGTGTGATTTTTTTTAAAATAAACCCACTCTTCAGAGCAGAGGGTCTTCTCGGTAGTGGTGCCCTCCCTCCCATCAGATGTCAAGGAAACAAACAACTATCTGACTTTTAAAAGACCTCTGAAGGCAACCCTGTATTGGGAATTTTTTTATGCCTAATGTTTTGCAATTTTTAATGTGCTGTAAGCTGCCCAGGGTGGGCATAAACAATAATAATAATAATAATAATAATAATAATAATAATAATTATTTTTAAAAGACAGTTCCTGTACTCAGGCTTACAATATGAAAGGCCCAGCGTTTAGAGGAAAAGGGCATGGGGAGGGAGGAAGTTAAAAACAAACTCGGGTACCTGTTTTTCAAGGTACAGAGTGGTGTCCAACTAACTTGTTCCACCACTGCAAGGATTTCCACTTGTGTAACACAACTCCCGTTAACCTCCACCATCATGCACCCCCCCAAAAAAAACAACACCAGTTATGTAGTTTCCCCAACCTTTTGGAGCAGTTCTGGGGAGGGAACAGGGCACACCTGAGGAGACAGAGAAGAGGGGCAAAGTCCCACCGTGGAAGGATACATCCCTGTGCTGAGGGAACAAGTTCGCTGGATACTGCCCACAAAACTCTTATAAAGAATCAGCTTAAATGGAGATAGCTGAGGGAAAGGAGGAACCGAAGGTCAGCAGAGCTGATGGAGTGTCCCTCCTTCCCATCTTTCCCTCTGCTATTGCCAGGCAAAATGGCTGCTCCTAGGTGACAGCTGAGAGAGAGAACACACCAGCGGCAGTTTTGCCTAAAAGCAGAGGACGTGGTAGCAAAGCTTCTGGCAGCAAGGAAGATGTAACACTTAGGTCAGGCAAGGAATGTGGCTCAATGATGGGAGAGCATGCCAAAGCTCCCTAGGTTCACTCCCCAGCACTTTTTAGCAGGCCTGGAAAAAGAACTCCCTTTCTGAAACCCTGGAAAATGGGAAAAATACTAAGCTAGATGGACCGTTGGTCTGTCCTATGTCATTTGCCTTAGATCAAATGAAGCAGAACCACATTATACAAAACATATCCGAGTCTGCTAGTGATCAACAAGTCAGGCTAGCAGTCGATTCCCTAATGCAAGACCTTTGATAGATGACTAATGCAAATGTTTTAGATTCTAAAGACATCCCTTCAAGACGTGTTCCACCCTCGCTTCAAAACTTATTGTAGTTGTCAATTATTTTGAAATCTAGACTGGATAAAGATTGCTCCCTTTAAACAGTCAATGCAAGTACTTTCAGGTATATCCCTTTGAATGTAAATGGCATCAATAGTTGAGTGAAGGGGGAGGGGGGTAAAAACACAAGCCAAGCTCTGATTCTTTTCTTTTAACAGATGTATGAAACAGCATAGCAATTATCTGAAGAAGCTGAAAATTAGAAATGCATATGCAAGTTGTACTAAAACTAAAAATCAAAACATGCTGCAATAACTGAACTGCGGACACGATTTTAAGTTGCTAGAGATAAAGAAAGATGCTAATAGAAGGGATATTCTGATTAAAGGACATCTAGAGGAAGAAAAGGGACGCGGGTGGCGCTGTGGGTAAAACCTCAGTGCCTAGGACTTGCCGATCGCATGGTCGGCGGTTCGAATCCCCACGGCGGGGTGAGCTCCCGTCTTTCGGTCCCAGCTCCTGCCCACCTAGCAGTTCGAAAGCACCCCTAAGTGCAAGTAGATAAATAGGGACCGCTTACTGGCGGGAAGGTAAACGGCGTTTCCGTGTGCTGCGCTGGCTCACCAGATGCAGCTTGTCACGCTGGCCACGTGACCCGGAAGTGTCTCCGGACAGCGCTGGCCCCCGGCCTCTTAAGTGAGATGGGCGCACAGCCCTAGACTCGGACACGACTGGCCCGTACGGGCAGGGGTACCTTTACCTTTACTAGAGGAAGAAAAATTTATTTTTGTATGTGTGAATGTCAGCACGCCTGCAATTTTTGTTGTTGGGGCATCCCAGTTTAGCACTTTGTGCATTCAAGTGAATGCCTCAATGAAGATCTAAAGGTAAAGGTAAAGGGACCCCTGACCATTAGGTCCAGTCGTGACCAACTCTGGGGTTGCGGTGCTCATCTCGCTTTATTGGCCGAGGGAGCAGGCGTACAGCTTCCGGGTCATGTGGCCAGCATGACTAAGCCGCTTCTGGAGAACCAGAGCAGCACACAGAAACGCCGTTTACCTTCCCGCTGGAGCGGTACCTATTTACTAGGGGACCAAGCAACAGGAGCTTACCCCGTTGTGGGGGATTCAAACCGCCGACCTTCTGATCAGCAAGCCCTAGGCTCATGGTTTAGTTACATCTAAATTCTTTCAAGGACTAATAATATTACTAATAATAATTTTATTATTTATATCCCACCCATCTGGCTGGGTTGCCCCAGCCACTCTAGTAATACTGAGATATGTCGAAATGTATTATCAAACCATTCTCAAATGAAATGAAATAAATACCTTAACGGATTGGAGAACTGGGCCAAAACGGAAAATGAATTTCAGAAGGGAGAAATGTAAGGTTCTGCACTTAAGCAGGAAGAACCAACTGCACAAATATAAAATGGGGGACACTTGGCTTACCAATGGTACATGTGAAAAGGATCTCGGGATCTTAGTGGACCACAAGCTTAACATGAGTCCACACCAGCAAAAAAAAGCAGGGGGAAGCCAATGTTATTCTAGGCTGTGTCAAGAATAGTGTCAAAATCAATGGAAGTAATAGTAGCACTCTATTCTGCCTTGCTCAGACCACACCTGCCAGTTCTGGACACCACAATTTAAGAAGGATGTAGACAAGTTGGAACCTGTGCAGAGGAGGGAAGTCAAGATGATAAAGGGTCTGGAAACTGAGCTTTATGAGGAACAGTTGAGGGAATTGGGTATTGGGTATGTTTAGCCTGGATATGAGAAGACTGGGAGGAGATATGATAGCTATGTTCAAATAGCTAAAAGGCTGTCACATGGTAGATGGTGAAGCTTGTTTTCTTCTGCACCAGAGAATAGGACTCCAACCAATGAATTCAAGTTAAAAGAAAGGAGATTCCAACAAAACATCAGGAAGAACTTTCCGACTGCAAGTGCTGTTCAACAGTGGAATGGGCTCCCTTTGAAGATGGTGGGAGTATCCTTCTTTTGAAGTTTTTAAGCAAAGGTTGGATGGCCATCTGTCATGGATGCTTTGAGATTCCTGCATTGCAGGGGTTGAACAAGATGACCCTCAGGGTACCTTCCAATTCTACAATTCTATGATCCTATGATTCATTTATACTGCAGAAGAAAGAAATCAATCCAGAAGAGGTAGAAAATTTGAGTTTCTCCTCCCTTAGGTTTGGAGATTATTCTGAAGAAACACAGTTTGTATGTTTCTTACAGATACATACTCCTCTCCATTCCTCCTGGCCTCGTTCCCAACCATGTATGTGCCAACCTAGGACTGCCATTCATGCATCTGATAAAATGAGATGAAAGCTGCTGCTGTAGTAAATTTGTCCGTCTTTAAGACTCATTTTGCTGTCCTTTAGGACAAGCAATTATAGTGACCCAAACTAATTGCTGTGAATGGCAATGGCAAAACCTATACAGTGGGTACAGTACTTAATTCATTCCGGAGGTCCATTTTTAAACTGAAGCACCACTTTAGCTAATGGGGCCTCCCGCTGCTGCCGCACCACCGGAGCACGATTTCTGTTCTCATCCTGAAGCAAAGTTCTTAACCCAAGGTACTATTTCTGGGTTAGTGGAGTCTGTAACCTGAAGCGTATGTAACCTGAAGCGTATGTAACCTGAGGTACCACTGTACTTTCTTATCCTACACTGGAGCAAATGCCTCTGGTATGAAAGATGAGGTGATCTATTTCCTCAAGATCAGGGATGAGGAATCAGTTCCCTTCAGGCACTGCTGAACTTCAGTTCCCATCAGACTCAACCACCGTGGTCCAAAGGTTGGGGGTGATAGGAGTTGAAGTCCAAACAATATCTGGAGGGGCGCAGTTTCCCCACTTCCACTTTAGGGCAACAACAAAAAGGCAAGCAATCATAATGGTGTGGAAACATGGCACTCAAGGAAGCAGAATCCATACCTAGACCTTTACTTCGTATCACATGGACCACCACCTCAGCCTTACAGGATAGTCACACGTGCAACCTGGTCTGGGCCACATTAATCTGTGGCCATAACTTTTAGGGCCTTTCCGAAATCTCTTTGCCTATCATTGTCACAAAAGACATCTGAATGTCTGGGATGTAGAACAATAACCCTTTCATTAAATCCAAGGACCTAATAAATAAGAGTGAGACTTGTGAACATTTCATTTAGGCAGCAGCAGGGCAATCCCACACATATCTACTCTAA